CGTAGTACAGACAAACCTCCTACCAGCCAGTGCGGAAGAACGATTAGATCCTTAAGGAAAGGTTCTGTATAACCTCAAGGAATTAGTATTAAGACAGGACTGATATTTTAATCCCCTGTGGTTTGAAAAATCAAAACAACTTGAATTTGATTCAGCAATTATTAAGGATATAGATGTCACTATACCCTGACCTAACATTACACAAGATATGCATAGAACTATTATTTTTCTTACCTTTGTTTTTGTTGGATGTTTTCTTTGGGTTCAGGTTTTGTTGTGATTTAAACATGAATTGATTACAGATTCCTTATTTCCTACCAGAACTAAAATTGCAAATAAATGTCATTTGGCCTGTCTGTTGTTTGTGAAATAAATGAAAAAACTAACTCCCGAGCCGCCTTGTTATTGCTCACGATTACTGACATTCACCAAGCCATGAAAACCTGTGGCCTTTGACCTCACAGGTCCTCATGCAGGTGGAACTCATTGAGTTGAAAGGTGAGAGGGAAGTGCTGCCAGCGCCTTTCCAATCAGGTGGTACAGCCTTCTTTTTTCTGCTTCGGTTTCGATCATTCTGCATTTTTCCTCATTCAGAAACTGTTTCAGAGAAAAGGAACAATTGTGATCAGACATTTTTAAAACACTCTTTCGAAGAACCAAATGTGTTGCGGGGACTCCTCAATGGAATGGAAATAAAAACATGCGTGTACATAATCACAACAACAACAACAGAATTACGACATCAAGATGAACTACGTTTTGATCAATGTTCTGTCTGCTGGCTCACTCCAAGAATGGAGAATGTCATCATGACTCCTGCTGAAGCACGGCTCGTGTTTTGAATATGCGTGCAAAAAGCTTTTAGCAATCAGTCCGTTATCACGTACTTCCAGTCTTGCAGAACAGCCTGCAATTGTCTGGAGACAGATCAGGGATTGCACATCACCCACTTCGTGCCTTTCGATTTCTGTGTGATAGACAGCCCCTGAAAGGAAACTCATGACCCACAGAATACGGAAGGTCAGTCCCACTCTCACAACACTGGCTGACACAAGCACAGCTTTATGAACTGCTGGGGATGATAGCAACAATCCTTGGAATTATTCTTTAAACAAAATTAATACATGTATAGAGATAGATCAAATATGTACACATGAAAATCATCATAACATATTAATTTCAGTTTTAGAAGTCTGATTATTACAACTTTGCTATATCATAACTATCCAGGATAAACTTCATGGCCACTCAGCTACACTCCTGTGTTGAAGCAAGGAGTGATATTCCTGTCTTCCAGTGCTGCATCAGGCTGTATGGGCATGTGTTGTCACTCATCGCTAAACTTGATACCAACAGATTGCCTTAATGATTTTGAAAAACTGAATTTGGGAAGTATAGTATATGAAGGAGATACTGACAGTAATCACATTCCACAATGCTTCTTACACACAATGGAGCATTTACAGTAGTTTTATTTTTCTGGAATGTATTTCATTAACAAGGTTTAATTTGCAGAAATTGCAGGAACCCGGTGCTTTCATTTCTATAAAAACCTCATTGATATTTAAGGTATACATCACAAATAAGTATTATCATAGTGGTCTGTTTCACAATTTAGGTGTATGCAGGCTCTCCATCCAATATGCTTTAACCCTACCTTTGTAAGAGACAACAGATGGAGTATACTGCATATTCACTGAAATACACATCTTCTTTATAATCGGGGATGTGGCCTTACATTTACTAGTTAAAAGGACAAAAAATGTAGAATAACACTATTGCTGTGGGTGTTTATTGTGAACAGTGACGTAAGCCCTGTCATTAAACACTAAATCACCAATGCAGTTTTGTCCAATAATTGTTGTTCTTTACACTAAAAGGGACACAAATGCCTATTTTGGGAAAAAGACACCACTGCCAGCATGGAAAGAGGCGACCTGAGCAGTTAAGCACAGGTCACAGCCAGTGAAGAGCTGATTTCCTAAAGCTGTTCATTGCCAATGAGGAGAAATGCAGGCAGGCTGTTACCCGATACAGCTGCTGCTGTAACCCCTAGACACCCACCCCAGGCAGCACAATAACTTAAAATAAACCTACTGGTTTAAATGGAGCAGCAAGAACCCTGATATTGTGTCCTTTTACACAGTCCCAAATAGTAAAAAAAAATATTTTTATGACAAGACTGGACCTCCGTGACCAGAGTACTATAAGACTGTTCTGTTCCACACAGGAAAGAAACCCCTACAAAGCTGGTATTCCAATGTCTAATTAAGGCCAGACAGTGTCATTTAGCTCACACTCTGTGAACCACAGACATTGGTATCATTACAGTTGTAGAGCTTACAAACACAACCTAGGTTTATTACTCGTTTATCTGAATAAGAAATTGGCTGAGGCTTTTACTGAATTCACTTGCATTCAGTAAATTCACTTGTTTAACCAAGTGGACAATCTGAGCAAAGCACCATGCAGTCGGCAGGGGTTGACAAGTAGGGTTTAAACCCACAACCTTTCTCTTACAAGCCCAGAGTCCTAACCAGTAATGCACACTGCTGCCAATATGATTGTGATCACATAACACCAGAATAGGCAGAATACACCTCATTAATACAGTAATAATTTTAAAAATTATTTTCAGCAATAGAAAACCTCAATGCATCTCCAGATTTTATTTCAGACGCTGCGGTTTTTTTTCTCGTTAGAAAAACAAAAGAGGAAAAGTTGCCCAAAATAGTGAAGTGCTTAACAAAATAGAGCCTTTACAGGGTTGTGAAGAGCGATGTTATTTTCTCCTAATATGCCACTGAGATTAGCTGATGTGGAAAACAGACTTCCAAACAATAGTTTAACACACAGCTGTTCAACAATGCCAAAAGAATAATGGATAAAACAGGGGATGCACATCTACACATCAAGTTCATTTGACCATGTATCCCTCAAGTTTCTGAAAGCTCACCTTTTTAGAAGAAATCGATTGCCATAAAAAGTTCAGTTTCAACCCCTTTCTGAGAAATATTTAAACAGACCGTTTGCTATTGCACTAAAAACGATTCTAACGTGTGCACACGTTTTCTGCTCCATTTGAGCTCATCACCTTACATCTGCCTGGTACCTCTACTTTTTGCAGAATGCCGTAGGCTTTTCCCCCCCATAACTGCCGATCCCAGCAAAACACATCGATTTTAAATCTTCACATCACTGAGTGTTTCAGGTGCATAAAAAAAAAGTCTACCGCCGCCAGCAAGCCCGAGAGCCACAGAGTAGGAAAACAATTCCGTAATTAGAGCACAGCTCTCTAATTCATGTGCAAACTTCAGAAGCAATTATGTCTTTTGCCACAGCAGTTAGCAGGCGATAATGAACTCCAGGAGGCGTAAGCCTTCATTAAGCCTCATGGTCACTGTTTTCGGCAGCGCAACAGTTTACTTGTTTTCATTGCACACGCTATATTTAACACCTCTGCCTCTGTTCTTGGGGACCGGAGTCAGAAAGAGGATTGCGTTGGAAGAGGGCTCTGTGTCACAGCGGGAAAGAAAGTTCCACGAAGGAATAAGGGGAGAATTGGGTCACTCCCCTCTCCCTGGTGGGTGATATTCAAGGAAACTATAGAGAAATAAGCCAACGTTGGTAGGGAACTAGGCCATAGCTTACCCTACAAGAAGAGAATAAAGTACTCTTCACTAGGACATATTTTAATAAAGAATAAACTACACGTTTGTGATGCTGAATGAACTTCTCCTACCCCTACAATGACGTCAGCTGTTTATACAGTTGCTCAAATTAAGAGGTTTTAAAAATGGATTACACTGTTTGTGGCAGCAGTGTCTATTACAATGGCAACCAATGACACTGGAGACTAATTAGAAATTACTATGCGCTATCAGTGGACTACAGAAATTGTCATGGTTGGTTTATTTAAAGGATTAGACCCATGACAATTAGTTAATTATTGGCAAACATGAAAGCATAGACAACTTAAAATGAGACCTGCTTTATATTTCTTGAAAATAAGATTGTAAACACTATAAAACTGATTAAATTATTAAAAATGGAAAGACCCCTAAAGGTTGGTTCACTGACCTAGCATACTTTAGTGTAGACATAATTTAATGCTTCTCAAACATACCAACAGATCTTTCCCTTCATCTTTGTTCTATGGGTCACACAACTGGTGCAGCATTTGGACACTGTAATAAATTTGTGGGCTCCGGAGCAAAACAGTTCTAACAAGTCTTGACAGTCCCTCGGAACGAACAGCAGAATTAACAATCTGTTTCAGAAACGCATAATAAACATAGAAATAAGGGGCGTCAGTCAGGCGTGGAGACAGAGCCATATAAATAATCAGGGAAGCCTGGAATGTCAAGACAGGTGTGCGGCACCACACTTTAAAAGCAGAAGTATTTCACAATTTGAACTGTTACGTCTGATAATCGATGCATTACCAATGGTGTAAATCTACAATGCGTTTTATGGGAGTTCCATGAAGTCTGGAAATATCAAGAGCCATCACAAGAATCTTGTGTATCCTTTTTATTTATTATTTATTCTGTAAAGCACTTTGGGGAAGCCACCTTTAAAGGCGCTATATAAAATAAAGTTTCTTATTACCACTACATAAAATACAGGGTTTTACTACCAATCTGTTGACAGCCTTCCTTCTTGGTACTACAGCTAACAAAGCAATGAAATACAATTCATTTTAAAGCAGACATTTATTAAAGCTTAAAAAGATAATACACCAGTATTAACAATATACTTAAAATGTACTATATACAATGAATTGCAATTTACATCTATTTGGCATCAACAGAACAGTAAAGCAGTTAACCATGCATATAGTACCACTAAGTACATACAACAAAAGCACCATGTTATCGCAGTTAACGTGAAGCTGCCCCTAAACAAGACTGTATCCAGAGCTAAGCTTCCACTCCTCTAATTAATGATGGGCCTGAACATCAAATACCTTCCACTTCAATGAAGACTATCCAAATATATTAAGTTATAAATATCTTTTAATATGAAAAGAAATGTTGTCAGTGTTTTACATTTACGAAATGCAAATGCACTACTGCAAATATTCAATAATAAATATAAAAATGGGCTACATAAACAGGTGAGGAGGCTATACAAATCTAATGGTTTCTTAGCAGTGTCCCATTTTCCATGATTGGTTTAGAAAGTGCAGGTTTATGGGAAGCAGCTGGATAATTTTTGCACCCGATTAAGTTTCGGCTGAGCATCCTCAGGTGCAGGCACAGAAATGACAGCCTAGGCACTTTGTGGGTGAAAACAGGCCAGTTGCACTGGATATTCCACTGCCAAGACTGATCTGCACGTTTCACACAGTTGTCATCAGTTTTAGGGACCCCGAACGGAACCGCAGAATTTTCTTCTTCAGATTGTGGGATGCCTTGATCTTCACAAAGGCCTTGGCCTGCGCCGAGGTGACCTCGGAGGGGACTACAGGCCCGATGGACTGTCCAAACTGCGGCCAGACCAGCCCCCCACTTTCATCAGAGTCACTGGAAGTGGTGCTCTCACCCACAAAGTCCACCTCACTCAGACTAGACTCACTGTCCCCAAAGCAGTTAGTGGTGTAGTTGCTCTGCTCATCTTCACTGGTGTCCAACACAGTGGAGTGGAACAGCGAAGCGCATTCTGCTGAATATTCAGAATCGCTGCCAACGTACGAATAAGGGCTTGCGTACTGCACAGTGGGAGGCAAATATACAGCTGAGACTTGGCCCAGAACTTCCCTTTTCTGTCTCCTCCTTGCTTTCCTCATTGCTTCTTCATAGGGAACCTCAGCTATGGTTTTGTACCTGCGGTAGTCAGCGCGCTTGTATTTCGGTTTGGTCAGTATCACCTCTCTCCCATGCCCGTGGTGTCTGGGGGCTGCAGACTTGCCTGTGGACACCGGATATCTACCTGCAAGACTGCTGTCCAAATGGGAGCTCCCCACCCTTTTCGTTTTAGAGGAGCTCTTCTTGGAAGCCTTGTGCAGGTTTGGAATGTCATCAGGGAAACGGCATTTTTTAGCCACCACCCTTGGCTTCTCCTGGCTGACCTCTGGAATGGGCTCAATGTTTGCCCTCGTCTTCAGCGCGGCGCCCTTCACTTTCACGATTTTTACATTCCTGCCCCCTTTCCGGAGCTTCCCAGCCTGTCTCTGGGCAGGGATATACTGAGCACTGACCAGCCGCCCTCCTTCATCCTGACTCTGGGAGGAAGACCCCAGGCTTCTCAGCTCCAGGGGAGGCCTCTTCTCCAGAGGCGGGGGAACAGCTGGAGGAGACTTCAGGCTTTGTCTCGGAGACTGGGAGCCCTTGCGGTCATCTGGCATGGGTAGATATCGATTGCCACTGTCTTTCGGGGAGGATGTGGAGTGAGGGGCACCCATCTCCTGGCAGTCTTTGGTCACAGTGCTCAGGGGAAGCCCCTTATTAGCCACAGAAGTATTCTTCTTGGAGAGACTGTTGGTGTGAATTTCAATAGTGTTTGACAAGTGTTCGCTGTGCTGATGGTAGGCACTAGGGACCAGACTCTTTCCATTTTCCAGCTGATCAATCGTAGCTTCCGCCGGCCACTGCTTCATGGGAGACGCTGCACTGACATCAGCACTGCCTGTTGCACTGGAATGTAAACATGCCTGCCTGCTGGCCTTAAGGTCAGGAGTTTTTCCCTGTGCAGCACCAACAGTCTGTCGAACACAAATGCTACCTTGTCTTAAAATGCTCTTTGCGGGGTCTGTGTTTATACTTGTCCTTGGCTTATTGGTTCGTACCGGCTGGGCCCTCCTCTGCAGCAGCCCCAAGATGTAATGATCTAATCTCTTGTTTGAAGGTTGGTACGACGCTGGCCAGGAGACGTTGTGAGGCTCTGGAGCCTGCTCAGGTTTCAGAAACTCGTTAGAAGGTTCGCTGGCTTTAAACTGGATTCCGTCCTCTTTGAAATGGCCGACAAGGGACTGAAAGAACATGGGGCTTTGCACAGCCACCGCGTGCAGTGGACTGGGGTACCGGTAGACATCACTTCCATTTCTGGCGACCAAGTCACACTGGTACTTGGATTGACCTTCGGGTGTCCCATCAACAGAAGGAGAGTAAGGAGCAGAAAAGGATCTTCTGACCAACACAGAGCTCTGGTCTTCACACCGCCCTTCGCAGTCAGCACAGCCCACAAGCTCATCTAGAACAAGGTATAAATCAGAATTAGTAGGTGTGAGAACTGCCTTTGTCACCTGAAGGTTGTGTGCACAAAAAGATCAGTGAATAGTATTTCACATCAGTCATTTGCAGGTTCCTTTTAAAATTTCACACACTGGAAATATACCATTTCATACACCATACTATTTAATATGCTGAGCTCCCCGGTTCCGGCTGACGACTGCATAATAATTTTCTCCGAGTTAAAATGTACAAAAATGCAGGTGGACTTCTTAACAGAAAACACCCGTAAAGCCAATGAACGAATTACAAACAAAAAAGTCCACACATCCTATAAACACATCATCATTGCTTCTGCTCATCTAATGTTTTCAAAAACTGTCAGATAACTGGAAATTAATTGTACAATGACTTAGTCATCAATCTATTTAATGCTTATTTTGGCATGTTGTGGTGCCTCTATGCCCTCCGCAATCTTCCATGTCTAAGCTCCTGTGAACACCCCGCATGAAGATTAATAGCTTGTCAATAGCTTCATCTTTTTTCACACATAAGCCTATTATTTTCATCTTTATAACAAGCTCAGACTGATATTCAAAATGAGGGCTTAAAATTTTCTTCAGATAAATGCTAAATGGCTTTTCCTTTATAGCCTTATGCAAAGGTCACCAACAATGGAAAGGGAAATATATGTTAATATCTTCAGTGAACACTTTTTACAGAACAATTATGAACACTTTCAGAGACTGAAAGAATCCCACTTAGAAAGCAATTCATCATTTAAAATGGCTTAAAATAGTATTAAACCAGTTCTTCCTTTTCATGTACCAGCAGAAAAAAACAGTAAGGAGTCTCATCTGAAGATGATGTCAATAGAAAACCTTTTCTACAGTCTGTGGTAAATTAAGTTGCTCATAAAAGGCTTTGAAGTGTAGAGAATTTCGTCCATCATTTCAGGAATCAGATGGGAAATAGGTTTACAGACAGCATGCTGAGCCAAAACCTCTCATTTGTAAACTAAGTTAATTGTGTAAGACTCTCAATTTAGAACATACAGTACTCAGGGATAGTTGGTAGCAGAAATGAAAGCACTGATCTTTTTTCTAGATGTAATCAACTTTTTATAGGTGAAATACCAGCATTCTGAAATAATGCAAATCTATTCCACATCTAACCAATCACATTTAATTGCACTTGCAATTAATGTTAAACAAATTCATTGAAAGTAGGGATAACTTCCTGAGATGGATGTTGTAGAGGCTCTAATTCAACATGTTCTGCTCAGAATAAACCTCCTGCTGTTACCATACCCTCCCCAGCTGCATTATGTTAAAAAATCATTTTTAAGAGTTTCAGTAAATTCAGATGGTGCCAGACATTTCTGAATCCACTGTTTACAGCAACCTCCTTTTCACTGTGTGAAAAAGAGACCGCAGTGAGACCTGTACCTGTTCTTTCTCCACTGTTCAATACGTAAGGGGCTAGTGGGAGTTTTAATGAGTGCAAAGCCCCATCAGAACCAGTAAGTAAGTGAAAGCTCCTCTGCAGAGACAGGAACTGGGGGGTGTGGGGGGTCACTGCTGCACACAGACCACCAGTGTGTACAGTGCTCCCAACACCCCCTCCTGCCACACACAGATCTCTCCCACAGAAACCTCCTTGGTCGCAGCTCACCTGCGGGCCTGGGCTGCCCATCTGCAGCACCCAGCGACGTATCCAGAGGGTTGCAGAAGCAGCTGCTCGAGCGACAACTGGATAAACACTCGCTGAAAACGGAGTTGGAGGAGTTGGAAAGGGACCCCGAAGTCCCATCACTCAGCTCATAAAACCCTAGGATGAGATGGGAGGAAGGTTTATGCACAGATTTTACACCTTAAGGGGTGGAGGCTGTCATTTAAGAATTTACAACAAGACAGACTGAGTTGTAAAAGAAACTCAGTTTTAAATAAGAAGCTTACACTGTGTGCCTATGGGAAAAATACGGAACTAGAATGCATTTCGATTTGTTTGTGCACTGCTACAGGAATGCTTTTCTTATTTCTCTCAAATCATAAGATCCTATATTGTGGCATATCAGGAAAATCTTTTAAATACAAAAACAGAATTGTGTTGACTGTATGTCACCATTGTCCTCCAAGATATACTTGCAGATGAAGTCAAAAAGAGACTAAGCCTTGTAAAAAATGCAGGTTACCAAAAAAGGAAACATTTTTAAAGTCACAGTAGATTTCCACACTTATATCTCAAGACAAAAATGTTTAAGTGCATTTGCAGTTTTCAATTACCTTCTGCATCAGTACATTGCACGTTAAGATTAAAAAGGAATACGATTTCATGCTAGACTCAGGGACACCACCTAAAATGCCTTCATCTCTGCACTGCATGAGATAAACTACATTGAAACAGATTAGGTAAATAAAAGAGCTGACATTTCACAGGAAAATGGTCATCATTCAGCATTTGTTAACACCAAAATAGTGTTTACTATCTCCTTCTGATAAGATGACACCTTTCAAATTTGTTTAATTAAGTTTGTTTTCTCAATGAAAGGAGTCACTGACCTACGGGTGATTTAAGAGACCATAGACATCTTAAAACCAGATTTGGTAGATACAGAGAGGTGTTTTTTTGGTTTTCTAAATAAACAAAATTTCCAATTCTGTGATGCTGCCTCTTATCTCTTAAAATCTTTCAAAGACAAAATTAAACTTTTAACGTTCAGAGCTAATGCCTTTCTAAAGCACATCCTATATCACTGTTTGTTCAAGATGAGAAAAATCCATCACTGACTGGCTTCTTCTAGGCTCAGGTCAAAAGCTCCTACCACTGTTTAAAAATGGTCAACAATTTCCGCACCGACTACAGCACCCAAAGTAACACTATACAAATTGCATTGGGAACTGGTACAGTAAATCACTGTGAGCAAGAATGAACAGCCAGGGGCCAAAACCTTCTCCAAAACTATGATAACTATTACTGGTTTCAAGACACTCAAATTCCAAGCAACTGCTGCAAGACAAATTAAGTATTAGAAGTGCATCTAAAAACCATTAGTCACCAAGCCACAATACATTTACATAAGAACTTTAACCACATATTCAATTTTGAATTATTATCAAATAACTCAGTTTAATGTTAAGATTATATTGGAACCCAGAATAATAGACCAAAAGATCTTTGGTCTTGCAAAATCATTTGCCTTACTGTGTAAAGAGGAAGCAGCATTTTCAGATCAGTTAATGACATATAAGCAATGGAGAATCAGAAAACCGATAAGATCACAACCTCGCAGCCCAAAAAAAAAAGCCACATCAGGCTTTATTGCAGGTTTAAGTGAAAATATATATATTTCACACCACAGGGCCAAAAGACAAGACAGTACAGAAGCCTGCCTTAATTTCAATAGGCAACACAGGTGTCCTTGAATAGATATGCTTGCATATTTGCCTTCAAAAAAAATTCTGGTTTTAAAATGGGTCTGGAGGGCTCACCTGAGCTGGGCCGGCTGTCCGTTTCCAGGTGGTCAATGGACACTTTCTCCGAGTCCAGCCGGAGATCGCTGATCTGGCGGTCCAGCTCCTGCAGCTGACTGATCAGGCCAGCGTCTCTCCTCCGCAGGCAGTTCTGCAAGACCAATAGAATGGCGCTGTCATTCCCCAATGCCTGTCTGGCAACAGCACATCCTCAAACCCCTCTCTGCACCTTAAACATACTGCACAAGCCAGAGCTCAAAAAGCCTGCCAACAGAAAAATCTGCAACCAATTAAGAAGAAATGTTATTGGAATCCCTTGTACTCAGTCATCTAATTTTAGCTGTGAGCCTCTGGGGAAAAAAAAACTTTGTATAAGAAGTCCAGCTGCTTGGAAATGCATTTGAAAATCTATCACTTAGTTATGTGCGAGAAACCTAAAAACTGAAAAGCTGCATTACCAGAATATTTCATTCAACTCGAATACCTTAGCAAGTACACTACCAAAAAAAAAATATTTACTGTGAAAACTAAACACGTATTACAAAAAAATATGAAAATGTCTTTCCTGTGCAAATTGCATTTAATATTCTGTTCTAGCTCACAAAATCAGCATGGCAAAAAAATCTGTTTGCTAAAAACTTCAGAAGAATTACTTGTTTTTAAATACTGGCATAAACACTAAGTATTAATGCATGAAAGCAATTTGCATTTATTTGTTCTGGTGGAATAAATCTATTACATACTGTACTAGTAGTTGGGCAACCAGGGAGTCCATATTGTTTTCCATTCCTGACTTGAAACTCCTATCACACAGAAGCGCCGTGTCCCTCATCTTGTTAATATACTGTATTACGATGAAAGCGTGCCACGCCAACAGTCTCTGCCCATGCATTCAGCCACCCAACTAAAAAAGAGGCACCTTTTAACGTGTTTTGGAGCATCATTCAGTTTGACCCCTTGAAGCCATCATTTGACAGATGTCTCAAGAACCTCATGTTGGCAAGTCGGTGAACACCTTTCTTCCCCATAAAGGGATTAATGCTCCATAATTATGTCTTCAATTAAGTAACCTACAAAAATTGTAAGAATTCAAAAACATTACCACCCCACACCCCTTTCAGATTTGGAATGAAGCGTTGTTCTGAAAACTGAGAACACTGTATGGCTTAGGTCATTAAAGTTGGGGTTTCGGATAACACCCACAATCCTTTATTTTCATCTCCCCTATTAGGCCAGGGAGAGGCAGGGCTAAAATGTAACCATTCACGCCCACCCCCATGACATTATAAATCACAACTGACATTTAGAATCACTGGTCATTTCAGATTTGTGCTTAGCATTTTAACGAGCATTTGTGCATAACCTCCATAATACAACACTCACTCATCCAGCGCCGTGAAGGGCTGCTATCGCTTCTCCGAGCGATGTCCCAGCTCGTGAAACGGGCTCTTGACAGGAGCTCGATGTGATTAATGTGTCCTCTGTTAAGAGCACGCTAGAAGCGTCTAAATCAGGACTTTATAGAAAGGACAATTCCGCAAAGCCATTCGGCACCCTTTTTAATAAAGAAAAATCTTTCCGCGATTCCGAGATCAAATCAATGACAAGGTGTCCATCCATCATCAAAATTTTATTGCCATTGTTTTTTGTTCGTTACAAAAGCAAAGCACTCGAAATCGTTTTTTTTTTCCATTCGAAAAGAGGATCCTGTACACAAAAAGGGAGTTATTCGTAAATAGAATTGAAGAGAATGAAATAACTTCTCTCGTGAGTAAATGCTTTACTGATAACCCACATGGAGTTTTATCCATTTATACAGCGGGGCATTTTATTGAGGTGACTTACTCAAGGGTACAACAGTATTCCAGCTGGTATTTGAACCCCTTGGACCACAAACTTCACAGCTATGACTCCAGAAACCTATCCGCTGTTTCACACTGCTGCAATCGCCTTTATAATCAATTTCTGCACACTAATGCACACTGTATACCTGGGCAACAGAGACAAATGAACAATAGAAACGTATATTTTTCTTCAAAGTGCGCTCTCTGACTAAGGAGCCCTGCGGGTTTTGAAACGACCTTGAATGTAAACCAGAATTCCCAAGGTGGAAGCAGATTTTATGGTGAGACAAACCAATCCCCCCTAGTGTGATTTATTACCATATGACATCAGTATCTTTCGGCGAAACGCTATATCTCCGTCATATAAATTAATCTTCATTTACTTGGTATAATCACCGAAATCTGAATGTAAAAAACAGCTTGATAGAAGAATATTAAACCTTGAGTTTTCTCATTAATACAACGTTCAATTAATAATGAGTATAAATGCAATGCCACGCTAAATGCTGCATTTTCATACAAATGCATGCTGCATTTCCGCACCTCGGGCTTCTAATCTGCTGCACAATTTTGTGCCAACTAAATTTAATGCCGGGGACGCTTCGATCGCTTAATGAGATTTAATCCTTGGAGTTCAGCAGGGGGTTGGGGATCTGCTTGTAAAAAGTTAATTTCAATCACCCCGGCCATTGTAACTCATCGGCAAGTTTCGTAGAGGCAACTAGACCCCTCGCCGTCCGCGATGAGATTTTCACGGATTTATTTCGCCCTCCAGGAAGTTCAGTTCAAATAGCCTTCATTCCATTCTAATCGATGGCTTGTTTTTCCACAATCAATTCTCCCAACCCGATGCCGAACAAATGCACAGAGCTGGCCCGCATTATTTGCTCCCTAAGCACTAGATGCATAGCCAAAAACGACATTAGTCTGAGGCTTGGCAGGTATTTGACTGTGCAGCGTTACAGCTTTTGCCAGTGGAAAATTAGTTCCAGCAGGCTCTCTTTTGCTGTAAATCTTTTCAACTATAAAATAAAGACGGTACTCCCTGTACTAAATTACAGTCTACAGAAAGAGGTTGCATTTAGTATCATTAGGTGGAGGTTAAGGACCAAATTCTTCACTTGTTTTAAACTATGTATAAATCACAATCCCATCTCCGGCGTAATTGAAGACGTTCACGATTAAGAATATTGATCAAAATAGATGCTGTTTTCATATTCTTAAGGTGCCTTTTCTCAATCGAATTCATGCAGCCACGCGTTTTTATTCCAAAGCACAAGTCCGTAATCAGACCCGGGAGCTTCCCGGTGAAAACGGGTGTTGCTTTAGGAGAAGAGTCCGCAAAGTCATCTAAGAACTTCAAATGAAACAGCCTTCTTTTAATAAAACACACGTTGCGTTGCAGGACATTTGGAAACAAGAACTTCAGTTCATAGCGACGTTCTGTCATGGGTGCAAAAATTAACCGCATCCAAAAAGTCTCAACTTCTACTTCGCGTGTCATAAAAATCGGCTTTTAAAATAATTAAAAAAAAAACAGATACACAAATGACGCGTGTCAAACGGGTTACGGGTTACTATTTCGATACCTACCAGCTGCTTTCTTAGTAATAAAATATTTTCTTCCAGTAGCTTTTCCTCCGAGTTCAAGAAGGCGTCCTCCGCGGCTCCGCTCGCCGTCGCCTCCCCGGCGAAAGCAGCCCTCTCCTGGCGCGCCAACACGCTCCTGACCAGCAGCTCCTGCCTCTGCCGCAGGTACTCCAGCTCTCCCAGCCCCGCCAGCGTCGCCTCCAGCCTCTCCCGGGTGCGCCAGCGATCCAGCTCCCCGTCCACCCGCTCCCGGCATCGCGTTTCACTGTCCAGCCTGTCCCTCGCCAGCAGACACTCCTTGGACACCGACATCGCCGCAACCGGGGCCGTTTGCTTCATGATATCCGGGCGAAAAATCAATTACATTGGTTTAGCCAGGGTGCAGAGGGGGGGTGGCGGCTACTTCAATTTAAAACGCATACAGGATTAAAAAAAAAAAGTTTTCAGGAGACAGCACAGAGGCAGCACGCAAAATGACTTTTTTAAAACTTTTTTTGAACGCTACCTATAATTCCTCCTCGCGTAACGCTTATCACAAGGCAAGGCATGCACTGAACATTTGGAGATGTTTAAGTTGTCAGGAATAAGCTGCGCCTTTCGTCCCCAGCCGGTTTTCAAGTTCTGTGGCTGATATCGCAAGACCAACACACCTAGCGTGCATCCCCGCCGGCAGCTCAGCCCCTACTAACAGCGAGCTGCAAGACCCAGCGCTCAGACCAGCCTCCTGTCCTTCATGCCGGCTCTAAGGACCGGCTGCTCCGTGCTGTCCCCGGGTCCTAGTGCGAGTTAACAGCGCTGAAGCATCCGGCACTTCAAAAAAAAAACTCATTTAGTGCAACAGAAGCCAGAGACTGCCGACGTCATTACTATAGGTGCGCGATGAGTGACGACATTTTCAATGTAAATTCGCTCTCATTCTGCAAGGGAAGAAAAATAAGCATGAGTTATTTCATTTTAACGACATCCTATTTGATTTCTCTTGTGGTACACATACAGCATATTGGCCTAGATATAGCACACTAAGACGTAATAAAGAATGTGGTTGTTAGATTTAATTGTCTAAATCATCTCTTGATTTTAGAAACAGTAGATCTTAATGCAATTCTTCTAGACGCTAAACCTTTGTCCATATTTTACGTCCTGTAATTATCAAATGCTTCTTAAGCTAGAATTGTGCATAATAGAAATGTGTTATGTTTAAGTCCATAACGAAATTACCTAACATTTACTTATAAATGATGCAGTCTGCTAAACAAGACCATGAATCTCGATGCTAAAGTACTAGAAAGACCCGTAAGATAACAAGGTGGAATAGCGCCCTCTGCTCGCAGAACCCAGCTACTGCATGACAATGTGAGCCCCAGGTGTTCATTAATATTTGCGCAAAATCAATTATTGAACGTGGATAAAGTTTAGTACACCCTAAAATGCAGGTTAAAGTAAACACGTTTTTCAAATCACCCCTAAAGCGTTTGGTTATTGCTTATTAAAAACATTACTCCAAATACCATCCAGGTCTAATTACCGGTATAATCTGTCGTCGTTCCTAAAGACGCGCAGCAGACAGATTTGTCACCTCTCAGTTCTAATCAGCTTTGCACACAGACGTGAAAAGCAAGTCCATTACGACAATTCAGAAATTGACTTTGCCGCCTGGTGCGGCCTTTAATCTCATTTTTTAATGCTGTTCATAGACCGGAGCAGTAAAGAAGCGTGTCTCATACATCATAAGTAATTGTTGGTAAGATGCGACACGAATGATATTTGGTGTTGTGTAACAAATTTCTTGAAAACACGTAATACTGAAATTAAAACCGGCTTAGAATGAAGATGCCATACAGTCAGACTTAAGACAGGGCCTTGGCTGGTGAAACGGGGTAGGATACTGTATCTGAGACGAGACTCACACACATCATAATGTATATGTCATGATAAGGCGATGGTTCGAGCTGGGAGAAACATTAGCTGTGTATTAAAATCATTCTGAGTAAATGAAGATAGAAGTACATACTCTTAGTAGAAATCCAGAATGGGAAAAAAAGAAGATACAAACTCAGTTTGACAAAGGCCCGGTATGTCATCACCTCTTAGCATGGGTATTTTAAAAACCCATCTTCTACTTTTTCGATACCCACAGACGCTTGAGTCCTGTGATTTGTTTAAATAAAACGCAAGAACGCATTTCATGATCTGCAACCTACACTTTACGATCCTCTGTTCCGCTTTATTTACAAATCTTTTAAAAAGTAATTGGATGTAACTCTTACACATTTCGACACTGGCTGAAAAGAAACATTGACAATACTAACCTTAAGAAATTGTTTAGCCTCGAAAGGTCTAGCGACAAACTTCGTTTTGAACGTGATCCACGTAATCCAGCCAGAAGCACCAAATGCCGCACGCATGGTCTTTATTGTAGTATGGGTTATTACGGAGCAGTCATTCCTTGAGTTTGGTTACACTTCCATTCATCTGCGATACATCCTCGGATCCGCAGTTCACAGAGGCTTTCTAACAATCAAAGTAAACTGTCATTCAGCTAATCTTTTATTCTCAAGGGGTGTGGAGGCAGAAAGTAATCTCGGTATTCTGTAAAATCTTTTGTTCCCGTTTCCTCTCCTATGCAGTTTGTCTATTGTGTCTTAAATGTGTTATCATTGTGGGTCCTATTAGGGTTTATTAACAAGTAGAGCTGTCTTTATCTGGAACACAAAGGAAGATGAAAGATAATAGCATCTATATTCAGATGTAATATATCATTTTAGCGTTCCGAACTTTAAAATCACATCGTTAAATCTCTTTGTTCTGCCGAAAAAGAAATATTAAAAAGGATGGTTATTTTCCTTACATGATTCAACTCAGGCTCCCGCTCATGAATGTGGAGCTGCAGAATTTACTTCACCTCATACTGTATGTGTTTGCTAAACATTTGCCCATGGAATTTTATCAGTGTTCTGCAGCTGCTTTTCATTAATGCAAAACACCAGCAATGTCTTACAGTAATCTAGGTATTATGTCGTATTTTGTGAACATGAGGGCTGTTTTCTCATTTTGATACATTTCCTAACAAAACTTTTTTTGAGAATTTAACAATTGAACTTAATGGCTTTTTTTGGCTTTCTTCAACAGGTCTTATGTTTTGTTTGGATGTAATTTTAAAACACACTGGGCACTGTTAAGGTTGTCTGAATGGCTGGTGGTCAGTCTTGACCGTTGTTCAACGTGTGATGACCTCAAAGCTTCGAATTGTACTTAAAATAAAATAAAATTGCACAACAACAAAAAATCTGGATAAAGTTTTTTTGCAAAATACTCAAAATGGGCAATTTTAAATGTCCTAAATAATGTTTCTTTTATAAGCTGTATCGCTATCTTAAACTCTTCAAAACAGCTGTGCTACTGCTTTTAACTGAATTGTCTCCTTTATGTCGGCATCATTAGCTTTGACTACTTTTCTCTATATGTCTCAATAATTCCTTGATTTCCTGAATATATCATATTCTCCATCTCAGAGATGCAGATCAGGCCAAGAGCAGTTTCAGTGATAAAGGTCTGTTTAAAATATGACATTCAGGACCAGTGTCCTTAGTAAGTGACGAAAGTCTGTCTTAATTTTCGTATAGAAGGATTATTGCCTTGAAATACTATGAAAGTTCACCGTTTTATGACTTTTGGTATAATTATTCTTTGTGTTGCAATGATTTCCTGAGATTCAAACTGGTATTAGTTATGCTCTGTTACACTGGACTGGATCCATAGGAGGACCACAGAAGGTGTCTCTAGGGAGTGTGTATTACACCCTGTTCATAGATCGTGAGAGTGGTGCACAATAAAAGCACACTAAATTCACAGGAACTGCAGCAAAAGCATGACAAAACTATGGTAGAATTGTACAAACCACTCTATGGAGGTACATTTCTTTTGCAGTGTCGATAAGTGTTACAATGTATGCAGAAAACTGGATCCTAGAAATAAATACAAATGTACTGTACGTTCTGCTTTCTTTTGATTCCTTATTGCATTACTGTAGCTAGTCAAAACAAGATGGTGTCTTTCTCATTGAAATTGAGAGCCACTGCAAGAAACATGCCTGCTCAATCAGCAGTGGGTGATTTTCCCATATTGAACGTCTACCAGGCAATACCTAGACATCACCATCGCGGAATTCCATACACCATTACTTGGCACTTTTGAAGTCGGATATCTATCCTGTGCTGTTGTTTTGGTTTCACTTAAATAGAAATGTGCATGCCAGAATTGACTTGGAAGGCTTTCCTTCAGTTTTAGAACCAAACCAAATACTGTGATCTCACTTTCATGTTTTGTCTGGACTCTTAAGGCTAATTGTGTCCCTGAGGATTTGTGCCAGATCCTGAGATTCACATTTCCATGGCTGTGCACCTGTACAGCTTCTCCTCTTGTGTAGTTCCACATCTTCAGCCATGTGCTGCTGGAACAATCCCACCATGAAACCTACAGTAGGTATTCTATAGATGAGTTGCTTTGAGCTGATGATCATCATGGCTTACCAATATTGCCATACAGTATGTACATGTACATTGGAAGTCTTATAAAATTATTAAAACATTTGCTGATTCTTGCTGATGTTATGCATATTGAGTGATTCCAAATAAAATGCTGTGTGCCCTAGCTAAATGCCGAAACAAAGAATAATCATTTATTACAATTGGATGCTTATTCCACAGTGGTGGTCTGATCGAACTAAGCAAGAACAGCAAATGTTCTACGAGTTCTACTAACGAGCTATTTTCATATTGACCTGTTAACAGCTGCTCACAGAGGTCAGTAGTTTATCAGATGCTTTGACACATCATTTACGTCTTCTGGATGCAGCATAGGGAAACAATAACAGAATGTAAGGATGTATTAAATGATAGCATGCTACATTAAAATAGCACTGTGCACTGGTAAGGACCATTACGAATATGGTGTATAATTTTGATCCCCAGATTAGAAAAATGACACTTCTGCTCTGGAATCAGTCTGGACTAACTAGACAGATTCTTGGACTCAAAGGAATGCCCTACACTGAGAGGCCAAGAGAACTGAACTTTTTTCTTGGACAGAGAAGATGGCGAGGAGAACTGATCCAAGTATTCAAAATCCTCAAAGGAACCTGACAAATCAACACAATGGACATGCTGAATTTCAGCAGTGGAAAAACACACCAGAGGACACAGTTGGAAACTATGTGAAAGTGCCTTTAAAACTGAGCACAGGAGAACAAGGAACTCAGACGAATGGCCGCTTCTTGTCTGTAACTTGTTTTTAAAGTCCTTATGAGTAAACACAGCATGCTCTGCATTACTTTACAGCCATCACAACTGTTGCACATCAATAACTGTGCCTGCAAAACAATCCAGACTGGTCACAGAATGGTGGCATTAAGATAGGAAGAAAGAAAAAGACAAATATGTATCTATACTGTCTGGATTTACAGCACAACACTTCGGCTTTATTCGGTGCCAGGAAGGAGAACCAGGAAAGAGTGTCAGGACTGTTAATCTATATGTCATCCCTTGTTTCACGTCAGTACAACACATCAAACAGGAAGGACATCACCTGACAGCTTCCACATCATTTAGCTCAGTTAAAAAGGCAAGTCTGTGTGACGCGTGAATCTGAACAGGGATGAAGCAAGAGTCTTCGTGGAAATTCTGCTTTGTGCTTTAACGCCAAAACAGTGGTCTTGAAACCATTCTCTCTGGAAATCCGTGGACAATATAAAACACGTACTAGGTAAGGGACATCAAAAGGGAGGATTCATTTAGTGTATTAAAAATAGCTCATATCTTTTCCAGAAGGTCAGTACAGCAAGAGACCAGTGGTGATG